TTATTGCGTGGACGGGGTGTGAGGGATGAGGTGCGGGAGATGTGGGAGACACGGTTGAGGGCGTTCTCGACCACCGAGGGGAAGTTACGGTCCTTGAAAAACGAGGACAACTGAGATGTACGGGAGTGGAATGCCTCATCCTGGGAGCAGATGCGGCGGAGGCGAAGGAATTGGGAATAGGGGATAGCATTTTTGCAGGAAGGTGGGTGGGAGGAGGAGTATTCTAGGTAGCTGTGGGAGTCGGTGGGCTTGAAATGAATATCGGTTTCTAGGTGGTTGCCCGATATGGAGACAGAGAGGTCCAGGAAGGGGAGAGAGGTGTTAGAGATGGTCCAGGTAAACTTAAGGTTGGGGTGGAAGGTGTTAGTGAAGTGTATGAACTGTTCGAGCTCCTCGTGGGAGCACGAGGCGGCACCGATACAGTCATCAATGTAACGGAGGAAGAGGTGGGGTTTAGGGCCGGTGTAGGTACGGAAGAGGGATTGTTCCACGTAACCTACAAAGAGGCAGGCGTAGCTTGGGCCCATGCGGGTACCCATGGCTACCCCCTTTGTCTGTAGGAAGTGGGAGGAATTGAAAGAGAAGTTGTTGAGTGTGAGGACGAGTTCGGCTAAGCGGATGAGGGTGTCAGTGGAGGGGGACTGGTCGGGCCTGCGGGACAGGAAGAAGCGGAGGGCCTTAAGGCCATCTGCATGGGGAATGCAGGTGTAGAGGGACTGGACGTCCATGGTAAAGATGAGGTGTTGGGGACCGGGGAATTGGAAGTTCTGGAGGAGGTGGAGGTGTTTTAAGAAATTAATTTCTGACATTTATACTAGTCCAGTCTGTGCTTTCACGTGACAATGTTGAACAAATTAATTTCAAACACTCTGAAACTGTACTAATCAATCAAACATTTTCATTACAACACTGGCTAAAGTTATTAGTAGCTTGGTTTAACATGATATCCAATTTACTGTATCACTTTGGAATTACAGTGGATTTTTTTTAAACAATAACTGAATTTTATGTATTATCAGCTTTATTCTTCGACCTTAAACTACATAATAGACAAGACACAGATCATAACCAGAGATAGTAGGAACTGCAGATGCTGGAAAATCTAAGATAAATAAGCACACCAGTTACACAAAGTTCCAGTCTACAAGAAGTTAAAAAAACAGGCTTCCATAAACATTTGCATTTCCCTAGCTCTTGGCAACTACAAGCAGAACCCCCACGATTTAGATAAAAACGAAAGAACTGCGGATGTTGTAAATCAGAAACATAAACAGAAATTGCTGGAAAAGCTCAGCAGGTCTGGCAGTATTTGTGGAGAAATCAGTTAACGGTTCGGGTACAGTGATCTTAATTTAATAGGACACAAGTATCATTCATTGCAGTTTTTGACACACTTTACTCCGCAAATTTAAGTAACTCTGACTTCACTCGTATGTATAGTATAAATTATGAGTAACAACACTGTTGAAAAGGAATCGCTAATGAGAACTTTTGCTTTGAATACACCGTTTTATGTTTGTATAGGGGCAGCAAACTACCTAAATTATACAAGATACCTTCCAAAATTTTACTACGGTTTATACACCTAATTAAATATTTTCCTTTGCTACAATATCTGTACAGATGAGGAAGCCGGCAATATTATTTTAAATGTTTATATATTATACAAATTGCATTTAAAGAAGTACTCAATTATCATTGTTAGTCTAAGCTTGCACATAGATACTTACAAGTGAGGAAAGGGTCGGCAACAACATCTTGAACAGACTACATAATAAAACTGAGCCAAGCACTAACAACCACGCACAGCTCTCCGCCATGTTGCTATCATATAACCCCACCCCAAAAGAAAGCTCACGATAACAGCCGCAAATGGAGTTAAACTCCAGTCATTCCTCGCAAATGGTATCCTCCACTAACAAGGAATTTCATCAATAAGTCAATTTGAGTGAAACACAGCAATTTAAAAAAACTACACGGAAGGAGGGACACGAATGATTTAATGCATACACGTTGGAAATAAGTGCTGGGGTTTACAATCACAGATAGGTTTCACCACGCCTTTGTTGAAGACAGCAAAACGTTTAGAAAACAAGAATACGAGACAGCTTCCAATCAGCATCGCTGCTCTGCACGCCCCCCTCAACCCAAACATCAAACAGCTCGCACAGAGCGGGTCACCAATCAACTCGCTGGATATGGTTTGAATGCATGTTAATAGGCTACGATAGCCAATCGGCGCTCAGGACTCGCCATCATGATCGGTGATATTGAGTAAAGGAACGAATCTGGTTCGAACTAGTTGGTTTGGATGTATTAACGTTCTATAGTTGTATTGTAACAAGGTAGTTGTATAGGATCCGGGGGGTTGGCAGCGCAACTTGATGTTATAGGAGTGTAATCTGTTTGTGTACTAGTTATCTTCCCTCCCAATCTTATATTTTTTTTCGTTACGCAGATATATATTTTAAACAAACCCTCCAAACATGCCTAAGAAGGCGGTGAGTAGTTTTTAATTTCGTATTTTTTCGAGGAGGGAATAAATGGATTTAAAAAGGGGGAGGCGAAAGATATTGCGAGTGTGTTACATGTTTGACTTTTTAATGGAATTGTATTCAGAATTCTCCAACGTTCGGCCTTTGGCTAAATAAAACAGCTCCTTTTAAAATAAAATCCTGTTGCGACAAAGTATACCAGAATTTTTTTTATATATGAAAAAGCTGGAGTAATCCCTTTCCAGAAGCAGACTGGAAATTTGCGCTTCCATCAATTCTGTGGAAGGATAAAATCTTGTCGATAAATTAAAGTATAAGAAATTATTCCACACGCAACCAAACATGCATAAAAGTGTTGAAAATGTTTTCTTCTCCGTGTATGTATTTTTACAGGCGGGCTTTTCCAGGAGACAAAGGTGGGGGGGGAGTAAAGTGTAAATCATAAAGAGCCATGTTGATTTAGGCTGCATATTCATTCTGCAAACTGGCGGCTCCATTCAGAATCTCGAATATTCCGTAACCTTTTGGAGGGGTGAAAATGCAGTACGGAGTTCTGAAGTTTTTTGTCCAGCAGGTTACAAATAGGCGGGAAGGATTTGCATTACGTCCCTTATTGCGCTCTGCATCCTCCCCCCTACGCATGTTTCCTCGATCTTACCGACGACAGTTTGCAAACATTTCAGCAGTACCATCCTAGCCCTGAAGGCTATCCCTTTTTCCTTCATGATGTTGCTAGCGCTATTGAATTATTTATTTTTGTAACTGCTTTTTTTTTAATTTAACAGGCCGCTGATACAGTAATAAACAAAGTAAGATGCATCTTAATTAATATTGCTGTCAAATTTGTTTACTGTTTTAGTCCAGTTTAGAGTCATAAAAATCTGGTTTAAATTGCAATTGTACAACAGGCTTGCTGTACTAAAACATTATTTGGAAAAAATAGAATGTATTAATTGCAGATTATGAATATCTGTTTAAGATTATTGAAACAATTGTGTATCTCTATGAATATTATAAACTTAGTTTGATGTTCTGTTTTATTTCGAAGCAATGTGTTATTGTCCCCCTTCATATAGCACTGCATCACTACTGAAAATGTAAATTAGTTACTAGATTGCTTTCAGGTAAAGCAAGGTTATACTGCCTTTCTCTCAAATTATCAGGAGTGTAATGTTTTTGGCAACCTGGACCTTTCAATTTTAAGAAGCTGAGCTTCGTTGTAGAAATGTTTATGTTAAAGTTTGTCTGCACTATACGATTTGAATGGAAGATGTCAAAGTTTGGACTGGGTCTGTATTTTTATTGTATAAACTCACTAATTATTTGTTCTCTTATAGTCGCTACCACCACCTAGTCATATGCAATTGAGGAAGGTAAGACATAAAACTAATTTAATCTTTATTCAAGTGAAGTTCTTTTGTAAAATATGATTGACTTTTTAACCTTCTACCTTCTCAGAGAAGTATAAAACCACCCAATGAAAACCCAAAAAAGAAACCGACTCCTCAAGTGAGTTTTAGTTCAAGTTATAAATTATGAAACTTTTTTCCCCCTGAAACATGCCCTAGAACTGCCTTTCTTCTGCAGAAAAAAACCAAGGCCAGAACAGCAAAAGCAAATCCTCCACAAGCTAATCAAGAAGCCACTGATGATTCTGTACCTGCAGAAAATGGTGAACGGAAAAACAATGAGGTAAATAGATTAATCAAAATGATCATATGAATTTTTGTTTACTTTGGATGTTAATGCAGATTCATATTTTGCAGGCACCCATTGCTGGAGAAAATGAAGCCAAGTCAGAATAACATCTGTCTTGTCCCTAATCATTGGTCGATGTACCTCTTGTACAATTCAGAGGAATATTTTTATCAACTATTTTGTAAATGCAAGGTTTTAGTCATTCAAAAATGGGCAACGCCATGTTGAAATAGGGAATCCCAACACAATTACACTGTTCTTCCTTTCCCTGCCACCTGTTTTGCACCAAAGTTCATGTCTGTAAATGTTAAATTTTTATATTAAAGATAAAATAATTGTATACTTGGATGTTACAGGAATTTTGCCATGAAGTCAACAAACACACCGGTGAGAGATGTTAGTGAGTTTGAAAGTCAGTTTTTAATCCAGATATAATGTAACATTCCATGGGCAAGGGTGGGACAGTTAAAGGAGAGAAAAAAAAAACTTTGACTTTTCTGAAAATATTTTGGACTCATGTTAAACAACAAATGTTAGGTAACTTGTGTGCCCATTGTTTGAAATTTTAATAGATAACTGCCTCAATCTGTTTTAGTCATGGATTTCCCTCATAAGCTGTGGCAATGTTGTCTTGACAATATCTGTGATAGTATTTCTTGGATTTCTTTTTTTCTTCTGTGAAACTGCTGTGAATGGGTTCATTAAGATAGTTTTCTGGGTTTATAGTGTGACATGTCAGCAGTGTGAATAGGCTGAGTTACCCACAGACAAAGTTCTGACTGCCATGCGTACATAACAAATGTTATACATATTTGGTCAATGTTCCCATAGTAACTGAAGTTTTCAAAAACATCATGCTGAAAAATCACTGGAACTTTAGAATTATGGTATTAACATTTTAACTACAAGTATTTGGAGACATTCACTTTCTATTTCAGTACAGGTTCTGTGTAGGATTGTACAGACTGTTCATAGCTGTATCTGTGTAATAGTGAATTTCAAAAAAAAAATCAATAAAATACATGGCTTAAGTGTGGATCTTGTGGATTTTTAGGTCATAGAAATGGGATGATCTTTTTGGAAAAAAAACTTTGCTGAAAAATATTAATTTTTAAGAAAAGTAACTGTTTACAAAGCCTCCCTGGAACAGCACATCACTAAAATGATTAAAACAATTCCAAGGCACTTCACAAACTTTATCAGAGAATAACTGCCACTGAACTACATCAAGAAATATTGAGACAGTTGACCCAAGGCTTGGTCAAAGAGGTAGGTTTAAAAAATAATTCTTACAAGAGGATGGAGAAGATTTGAGGAAGAAACTGAATAGTTCTGGGCCTGGCTTGCTGGAGGCACAGCTGTTCTGGTAGGTTGATGGTAATTGGAATCTGTGTGATTGGAAAGGAACGTCATTTTATCAGGATTGTAAGTCTGTTGCAGACTTGGTGAAGTATATGTCCATGAGTGGATTTGAACATGATGAGAATTTTGAATTCAAGATATTTTGAACTGGGTGCCAGTGTACACCAGAAGTGTGGGTAGTGATGCATGAAGAGGACTTGGTGCCAAGTTGGGTTCAAGAACGGTTTTGGATGAGCTAGGATTAATAGAGAATGCACAAAGTCTAAACTGAGAGAATAAATACATAGGCATCTGATGAAAGTTTGGATTCTGCAAAATAAGTAAACCCATTCAATCCAGTTCCTGGTGGGAATGTATTTAAGGAATACTGGAATGGAACAAAGTGAAGGCATGTCACTAATACAGGAGGGATTCTTGAGTGAAGTTAAATCTTCTGCTTGGCCAAAATAGAACTTTATTTTCATGCTTCTGCTATCAGAAGAACTTAATTTTGACCAAAAGTTGGAACGTTAGAAGCAAATTCCAACATCTGTCTTGTACCTTGTACGAGTATCTTGTGTAATCTTCAAAATTTAATTATGGAACAAAATCAGAAATTGCTGGAAAAACTCAGCACATCTGACAGCATCCGTGGAGAGAAAGCAGAATTAATATTTTGGATCCAGTGACTCTTCTTTAGAACAGATTGTGGCTAGGAAAAGGTTGGTGGGGGTGGAGATGGAGCCCAGAGAGTAAGAGAAAAAAAAAGCTTGGTGCAGTCAAAGGAATGGGTAAAATTTAGCCTGAGAGATTGAATAGTTGCTAATGGAGACCATTAGTGGCTTACAGTAGGTTGAGTGTGGTAGCAGCCTGTGTAATGACAAGGCATGTTGTGTGGGGGTTGGGGTAAGGACATGGGAGAAGGTGCTCACGCCCTAAAATTGTTGAATTCCGTATTGAGTTCAGAAGGTTGCAGGCTTCCCAAGTTGAAAATGAGGTGTTTTTCCAGCTTGTGCTAAGCTTTGCTGGAGCAAGCCTGGAACAGAGATGTTGGCCAGGGAACAGTGTGGTGAAATGGCAGGCAACAGGAAGCTGAGGGTTGTTTTTGTGGACAGAACATAGGTGTTCTGCAAAGTGTATGCCCAGTCTGCGCTTCATCTCCTTAGTGTAGAGGAGACCACATTGTGAGCAGTATATGATGGATTTGATGTTGGTATCCAGTATATAAGCAATAGATGGCTTCTGACATTTTTAGTGGTAATTCTTCCAATTCGATTAGTTTTTAAATTTTGCGGCAGAGTCTACAGACAATGGTCTGGAGTATTAATCTTGCAGTTTACTTAAATCTGAATGTACATGCGCTTTGTTTGTATTTTTCATTAAATTGAAATTATCTTGATATTACTATTTAAACAATGCTGAGCTTTGAGTAGAACGTTCAAGTTTTTTTTTAATATACATGGTGAAACCTGTTTTTAAGGCATTTACTAAGGCAAAGTATGTGATTGTATTAGCATCAACAGTCCTTTTGCCTCTGAATTCATGTGAATCTAATAGAAAACAACAATTGGCGGGGCATTACAACTGCCTCGACTTTTCGTGAACATCGTTCTAGATTACAACAATAACTGCATATTTTAGAAGTCTTCATTGTCTGCTAAGTGCTTGTGACATCTGGTTGTGAAAGGGATAAATACAAATCTTTCTTTAAGGGACTATTACCTAGTGATTGGAATGAAGACCAAAGTGAATGAGATTTAAAATGAATTATTTACTTCAGCAGGTTTGGAAAAAATATATATTTTTATGTCAACCCATTTGGGGATGTTATGACATACCTCTGTTGCAGTTGTTACTTGAACCTGGACCTCCAGGCTCAAGAGTTAAGGATCCTACCACTGTGCTACAGGAGCCCTGAGTTTAAGAAAATTGTTTTCAGTCTAACTGAAAACAAATGTGGAATCTTAACCACTGGCTTCAAACTTTGATAAACCAAACGTTCAGATTTGATGATTAATTTTCTGTATAGTAGCCATTAAGGAACTCTCACCTGTTTTAGAAGGATAATCAATGATCTGAGATCGCTAAAACTCCATCAGATGGAAGATGAAGAGGAGAAATTATATTAGTTTTTATTTCCAATTAGCCATCGGTTTCCTAAATTCCAATGTAATTACACACAAAAGTAAAGCAATCCAGGAAAAGAGTAGCAGGTTGCTCTTCGTTCCAGAATCAGCTTTCATGGTGGAGAGGCCCAGCTTAATTTTTTTTCCACTTCATTCTTGGGAATAGAGCACTGCTGCCAGCATTTGTTGCTCTTGAGAGCGTTTGTGGGTCACCTCGAACTATTGTAGTTCATGTTAGGTAGAAAGTTCCATGCTTTTGACTGAGTGGCTTTTAAGCAGTGGTAATCTGACAAATCACAATGGTAATCACCTGAGATGATAGGTACCTTACATCCCTTGTCCTTTGGAGGTGCTGCTGGAGAACCTTGGGCAGTTTGCTATTAAGCATGTTTATAACCGATGTCAAGACAGATCATTTATGGGTCTTGTCAGTTCAAGCCCTGCTGCTTCTAACTTTGGTTAAAAAGTGCAATTTTCTGCTTAAAATAAATTTGAAGTTGGTATGTTTCTTACTATGGTAAGGCAATTACTTGAGTACATAACTAATAACTGCAAACTTCAAACAATATTTCCAGAACTAGTAGGAAAACAATATTTGCAGAGATAGATGTTTTAAAAAATACACAAACCACTGCTGTTCGGTCTGCAAAGATGTTGCCATCCCATAATATCACACATTTACTCTTTCAGTTTTCCACTGGTGACAGTCCATGGGAATCTGCCAAAACAGCCAAACAATACATCTTGTCCTCAATTGCAAAACTCTGTCTATTTTGTTTTTCTTTCCTTTTAAATTGTATATTCTCTATATTTGTAGCCCAAAGGGAACACTAAGATGCCCATGAGATACAGTTGTGATTTATTAAGCTACTTTTGAAGATTAGTTAAGAATCAAATCATATTGGTGTGGGACTGGAGTAACATAGTCCAAACATTAGAGAACCACTGGGTTCTTACACAACAGTCCAATGGTTTTGCAGTTTTGTTTTGTCCTGATAAATTACTGAAACAATCTTAATTCCTGCTGGGATTTGAGTTCCCACTCAGTCTTTCGATTATTAATCCAGTAACAGCCATTGCACTTTTGAACCTACAAAATATTAATGGTTCCATGTGTCTTTCAGTATTTACAAAGACAAGTACCACTATCCCTGATGATTACCCATGCTGGGCCTGTTCATCCATGAATAAAGCCAAGACTGTCACGTCATTGCTACAAATAGTATTGCTGATTTACACAATACCGAACAATCAGAGATAGCAAGAACTGCAGATGTCGGAGTCAGAGTCAATACAGTGGAGCTGTAGGAACACAGCAGGTCAGGCTGCATTGGAGGAGTAGGAGAGTCGACGTTTTGGACCTAGACCCTTTATCAGGACTAGAAACGTTGACTGACCTGCTGTGTTCCTCCAGCTCCACACTATCAATTGTCTAAATTAGTACTAGTGGTTCTGATATGTACTGTGTAAAGCAGAAGGCCCTTTGTCATGTTATAAAGCAATGTTACATGCAATTTATATACTTGAATGTGGCATGTGTCTTTCAGTTTAGGAAGCATATGTTTTGAAGTAGTTTTAGCTATTTGGCTCATTATACCCATATTATAGTTGGTCACAGAACATGTCTTAAAGACTTGTTTTCTGTCAGTGATATGAGACAGAGTTATTTGTTTTATTTATGCTGTGTAGATATTCAACATTGCTAATGCCTCATTGCCCATGAAGGTAGTTGCAAGCCACTGCAGTTCATATTGTGGATAGTTCTCCTATAATGACGTTGGGACAAGATGAAGAATTTTGAAACGGCAGTGGTGAAAAAATGCCAATATGATTCAAGTTCAGATGGTGTCAGACTTCACAAAAGTGTTATGGCACAGCAGGAGGCCATTTAGCCATTTGAATCTGCACTGGCTTTTGAAATAAGCATTATAATTTAGTGTCATTCACTTGTCTTTTTCCCCATACACAGGCATGTCATTTCTATTTAAGTAATCATCTAATGTCCTCTCAAATGCTTCACTCAAACCTGCCTCCATCACACTTCCAGGCACTGCATTCAATTTGGAGCTATTTCTTGTGTGAATGTTTTTTCTCATCACATTTTTCACTTCTGCAAATCAGGTTAAATCTGTGCCCTTTTTTTTTGTTGATGTTTATTTTGAACAGGAATGGCTTCTCCTTATCTATTTTGTCCAGCCCCTTCATTATTTGAAAACTTCTAAGTGATCTCTTTGCCTTCTCCCAATCTATATTCTTTGCTGGAAGTTTTTCTTCCCTGGAACCATTCTTGTAAATCACTTCTATACAATCTCCAGTACACTCTCATTCTTCTTATAATGTGGCACTCCATACTCCAGCTGAGGTCTATCAAGTCTCATATAAGCTCAGCATGCCTGTTTCCACACTGTAGGGATTCTATGATTACCTCCTTGTTCTTGTACCGTATGCCTTTAATAATAAAGCCCAGGATATTGTATGCTTTCTTAACTGCTCACTTCATCTATCCTGTCACCTTCAGTGATATGTGCACATTTACACCCAGATCCCTGAGCTCTTGAGCATTGTACTCCTATTGTCTGTCCATGTCCTTCCAACTAAAATGCGTCACATTGGAGGGAACCTTGCTTGATGCCCATGTCCACCAGTAGAGATCACATGAAATAGTTCACATTGTAGGCATGTTGCGCAAGTGATAAAAGCAGTTATTGAGAAAAAAGGCTTGCTTTGTCTTCGATGTTCAGGCTTCAGTTGTCGTACCTGCACTTCTAGGCAAATACAGAGTATTCCCTTGCACTCCTGTTTTGACTCGTGGATGGTAGAAAGACTTCGGGGAATTAAATGGTACTTCCTGATTTCTGAGCTCTTTTGGCCGCAATATTCATGTAGCTATTTCAGTTGAGGTTCTGATTGACAATGACATCCAGGATTTTAATAATGAGGATGCATAAATTGGAAGGCTTTTGACTAGAAGGTAAAAATTCTTTCATTTGGAAATGGTTATTACCTGGTACTCGTACGAATATACAATATGGGGGGGAGATGATGGCCCAGTGGTATTATCGCTAGACTGTTAATCCAGAGACCCAGATAATGTTCTCGGGAACCAGGTTCAAATCTTGCCAGGGCAGATGGTGGAGTTTGAATTCAATACTTTTAAAAAAAAATTTGGAATTAAGAATCTGATGACAATGTTTCAATTGTCAGGAAAAAGCTATTTGCTTCATTAATATCCTTTAGGAAAGGAAACTGCCATCTTTACCTGGTCTGGCCTGCATGTGACTCCAGACCCAAAGCAATGTGGTTGACTCTCAACTACCCTCTGGGCAATTAGGGATGGGCAATAAATGCTGGCTAGCCAGCAGCACCCTCATTCTGTTCATAAATTTTTTAAAAAGTCTCAAGTTGAAACAGTGACACGAAATTTACCTGACCTAACAAATGATCAGATTTCATAAAAGATTTCTGGCATTAGACAAAGAATTTGAATTCTGTGCAGCTAACACATTAAAATTACAAACAATTTGGGGTGAATTTTTCACCTTTGCCTCTGGATAATAAATGTCATCCCATTTAATGCTTTGCTTAATTTTCTTTTCCATATTTGGGTGAGAGAGATAATTAGTGGCCCATTCATTTAACTTTTTTTGCCTAATTATAAATGCAAAAATTAAACCCAGTTTTGTTTTTCAAAGAAACCTCTAAGTTTCTCCCAAGATTTCTGTTAAAGATACAATTAGTTTTGCTAGATACAGTATTCATTTTATTGAAATGGGTTTCAAACAGTCTTCAGCCACAATTAATGGGTAGGGAGAGGAAATTCACCTTTTGCCCAGAGAACAAGAGTTTTTGGGACAGGAATTCAAAGACAATGGCATTGGTCTTTCCAATGCCTAATTGGAGGAAATTTCTGCTCACTCGGTACTTCATATTGGACAAGCATTGTGATAAGTGTAAGTTGTAAGTACCTATTCTGACTCAGTTACAGTGTGAGATGTATTTTCAAAGCTAAAGGTGACCTAGTTCAAAACACAATCATTCAGGCCTGGATGACATGCAATAGAAATTTATTGCTGAGGTTGGGAATTTGGCAGCAAGAGAAGCACTGCCATCTAAATCCCTAAAACCTCTCAACCAATGACTAAACAAAACAGGAATGAATACAAAAATAAATAGCTGGAGAAACTCAGCTAGTCACAAAATGTTGACTCTGTTTTCTCTCCACAGATGCTGCTGGACCTGCTGAGTTTCTCTAGCTTTGTCTGCTTTTGATTCAGATTTCCAACATCTGCAATTTTTTTGTTCAGAAATAAATGCCGAAGAATAGTATAATGATTTAAACAACCAATTTAAAATTAGTCGAGCTCATAATATGGCTCATGTTGTTAGAAGCAACTACATTCACGTGCAGGGAATGTTGGTGCTCTGCAAATAAAAGGAACACTCAAACCTTTTCTGAATAGCCTGGAAACTTTGAAAACTTATTGTTCGTCATGCTTTTTCCATGACAAAGCTTCAGCAAATCTGCATCAACTAATCACATTTTTTCTCCAAGAGTAGATTGTGATGTTTTGAAATTTAACATTTTTGCATTTGTTCTGAAGACTGCAGTGGAATCAAACTGCTCTTTTATCCAGCAATATTCAAGAAATTATTTATTTGATTGCCTAATCTGGCCACTGGTTTTCCAAAAGTCATGCTTAATCTAAAAACTTGTCAACCAGTTTTTCTTAGTAACTGAAATATATAATGTTCAAAATGGCTTCAAATAAAACATATTTGTAAAGTGTTCTGATAAATTATCATTCTCAATGTTATCCTTGGTGTCTTTTAAAACATTCATTAACTATTTTACTTGAAGGCCTGTTTCCCAAAAGCCTGAAAGACCAATGCCATTGTCTTTGATTCCTGCCACAAACTGTCTTCTGGGCAATGAGTGAATTCTCTCTCCTTGGCCACAATTGTTTCTGAAAATTGTTCCAAACTTTGATCCCCCATTTGACCCTTACCTGAGCTTCTGCCCCCATATTCACTCAATTACCGAGATGACTGACTTGCATTTTTGCAACATTATCTGACTCTTCCCTGCCTCAGCACATGCATTGCTGAACCTTGTCTTTGTCTTTGTTACCCCCTAAAACTCAACGATTCCAATACTCTTCTGGCTGACCTTGCACACCCTATCTTCACTTAAGACACTGTTCTTTGGTCAATTGTTCTCATTAATGATTAAATAATAAATAGTTACAACTAACTAACGTGGCTTGTCAAATTTTGTTTACTATTTGTTCCTGTGAAGCATCTTGTGGTATTTTACTATATTAAAGGGCTATATATGTGCAAATTGTTGTTTGTAGTTTGCATAAAGCTACAACTGCATGCTGAATTTGGATTGTGTTTAATATTAATGTATGCACTGTGCTTAATTTTCCAGAACATTATCAGTTATTCAGCTGTGAACTCCTTTTTTATTTTCTAGCACATTTTAATCATTAGCTCTTCAAAGTAAGTGGTGTTATATCCAAATCTTTATTGAGACAAAATTGGCTTTTAAAAAATTGTGTGTGAATGTGTTTATGCTTAAAAGGAGGAAGACTGGCATTTGCGTACTACACATCAGTCAGCATTTCTTGAAATGTATCAAGCGGAGATCACCAGTACATGGACACTGAAAAAATGAAGGAGATGTATTACTGTTTTCAATTAAAAAAAAAAATTGTCATCTGTTATTAACAGAAATAGTAAATGCTGATTGCTTACATTTTGAAATTCCTTACATTGAGAGAGAAATAAATGGTAAGAGATGGATTAATGCAAATACAAAAAAGCATTGATAGTTTTTATTGAAATAATTTATGTTGACAAGATCGGTTATGCCATAATTGATCGTGTTCCCACCTCTAAATCTCCAAATTCCAGGTTAAATCACCAAACCAATATTTCAGCAGAAAAAAAGACTGACACACTAGTGTACTACTAAAGGGATGCTGCACTGTTGGAAGTGCCATCTTTTGGATCAGCTATTAAACTTAGGCATCATCTACGTGCTTTATTGGATATAAAGAAACCATGGTACTATTTTAAAGAAGTGGTATGAAGGGATTATCCCTGATGTCTTGGCAAATGTTTTAAAAATAACTATCTGGTCATTGTCACATTGTGTGTGGAAGTTGATGGAGTACATATTGGCTGCTATGTTTCCTGACCATACTTCCTTTAAATACTCCATTGGTTATAAAGTGCTTTGAGAGGTCCTGTGATCATGAAAAAGAGCTATATAAATGTAAGTCTTTCCTTCTTTGAGTCTGTGTTCTGAATTAGTCCTCATTCTCTTACTTAGTTTTATCTGATGACTACGCTTTTTGGGCAAGGAATTTCAGAGCAGCTTTTCTAGGTCTGCCACCAGAATTTTTCTGCAAATACAATAGAAACCATAATTAGATGGGTCGACTCTGAGGAAGTTATTAGCCTTGGTCTTGACTTTATAGTTTGTCTTCTAAGACGTGTAAGTGCAAAGTTCTGGGAAAGTAAATAGTACAGACATCCGATCTGTCACTACTATGAAAGTCTTTCTCTTTGCCTTTGTGAAAATGGAGATAATGATAGAAGGTATAGTTCCAGAGTACTCTCAGCTCTTAACTTGTAGCTGAGCATGAATAATTATTGACTATTGAAATTGTCACTAAACTAGATCCTAAGCAACATTCAAACACTTTCACTTTCTAACCAAAGTGGTTAGGTAACAGCTCAGCACAGGTATATGTACAAAGGAAATAGAATAGCAAGGGAAAGCTTTTGAAAAACATACTCGCATAAAAGTATTCACTACTGCAATGGCTATACAGTATCAGGCTCAAAATACAGGAGGGATTAACCATTAATCAAGCTAAGGAATACAGAAATGTAGAAAATAGGAACCGAAGTAGATCATTCAGTTCTTTAAGCTTGCCCCACTATTCAATATGATCACTGATCATTCTACACAGGACCCTGTTCTTGCTTTCACGTTTATATTTGAACTATATTTGTCTCCTTGAAAACATACAATCTTTTCGTCTCAACTGCTTTCTATGGCAGAGCATTCCACAGGCTCACCACCCGCTGGGTGAAGAAATGACTCATCATTTCAGTCCTGTATGACCTACCCCATATCCTTAGAATGTGACCCTTGGTTCTGGACTCCCTGGTCAGCTGGAACACTCTAAGTTTACCCTGTTAGTCCTGTTAAAATTTTTATAGGTTTCTATGACACTTCCCCCTCATTCTTCTAAAAATTTTAAGTGAATGTAGTCTTAATTGATGCAGTCTTTCCTCAGTGTTAGTCCTGCCATCCCAAGAATCAGTCTGGTAATTTGATGTGGTAATTCTGTCAAGAATAGGCTTCTGGACATAGTGGAAAGAGATGAGATGAATGTTCACTTGTCCAAAATGCCCAGAGTGTGATAAACAGATTTCTAAAGGATGCACAGCAAATTTAATATGGAGTTAGCTTTAAGTGTCAATAGCATACAGACAGAACATGATATATGGTACCCACATCATTCCTATGTAATTAAACATAAAACTACAACACATTGTTTGTGGGGAATCTCTAGTTTTGCCAAGTCTATGATAAGCAATCAAGATGACGTGAATGCAATGTCATAATTTTAAATTAGTACCTATATCTCATGGATTGCTTGGATGGGGCTGTGTTTTGTTACATCATTAAGTCAAACCAATTAGGAATATTAACTGAATCTTAAGTATTGCTTAATTAGCAAATACATATTAAAAGTAAAAAATGTATGACAGTATCTGGTAACATCTTCATACAAAGACAAAAGGGATCTATGTCCAAATCCTATAGAAACCCAACAGTTATCTGGGAAGTTTTACCATTTTGGCCTACAGTTATGGAGATTCCACAGACTTTTTTTAATGGTAGAAAGGACCCAATTCTGGGATTCCCGTCCAATTCCTGACATCATCCAATTTTTCACTAGCATGGGAGAAAGGTGTGAGTTCACATTCCTAACTTGGCCAGCTCCATTATGGAGTTTGGTGTTCCTCCCACTCCCCCACCCTACCCCAAACCAACATTGGAGCAGATCAGTTCCATTCGAATGGCCCCTTGTACCAGATCCTAACACTTCTATGCTCTGTCACCCAGTAAAAAAAATTACAGTATTCTGTAGATAGCTGTACAAATGTTCAGTTGTATGTGCAACGAAGTGTCAACTGTTCCACCTACGTGTCCTGTAAGCATCAGGTTGCTGCCCCACTGCATGCATGATGAAGAGCAACTCTGGAGTTGCTAATGGTTGACCGGGTACAATGAACTTCACATTAACAATGTCATGCGTTAAAAATGCTGTAAAAAGCAATTTAAAGTATTTAAAATTCTTGAAAAATAAATTTCTTTTAAAATGCTGCTGAAACAAACCTTAAGTGTTAGACTACCCGACCATGAAAGAATAAATAACAGAAATGATAAACTCCTGACACCTCTATCATACTATGTTGTGCCTCTTATTGCTGCTGACAGTCTTTTATGCATCCTCTGTCCTCAGTCTGGATAATTTAATGATATTTTTCACTGCAGTGTTACTTCAACCAAGTGCTGTGCTGCAGATATATTATAAGGTGCTGCCTCATTTGCATAGAGCTTGTGTTTTATGGTAAAGTTGGTAAATGTGAACGTAGATATATCAAGAAGATCAGCAAGCTCCACACAACTATTCAGTTTTTGGCAGAGACACCTGCTAATATTGTAGGATCATTACTTATTTAAGTCAAAGATTGCTAGAGGCTAAAGGTGTTGGGGTATATGGGGTAACAGCAGAAGGAGGATCAGTTATAATGTAATGATCACACCTTTTTCACTTTGGATTGTGGACTGAAAATGGTAAAATGGACTGCTTTTTTTTAAATGGCAAGGAGTGGTGTGTACAACACAATACTATATTATTCTTTTGGAACAGAGTCAGTACTGTGACCAGACAAATTGGCACTACCTGTTATTTGGTCAGGGGAATGCTGCCCGGAGACAGTCTTTTGATGTGTCTTTTCAATTGGCAGTCTTTAGAAATGTGTGAGACTATGGGGAGAAATGTCTCTTTCTCTCCCTCTCTCTCCCCCTCTCTCTCTCTCTCTCAAAAGAACAGGTAAAACTACATTTTTAAGAAAAGAGAAAAAACTGAAACATAAAGCAAAAGGAAAAACCCTGGTCCAACTGATTAACCAATGAATTAAAGACTGATTACAATTTACAGTCAACACGGTGTCATCATCAATAAAAATGGAACATGAGAACAACCCATTCTATCTTTATGGTCTTGATTTGTGATATCAAATCCCAATTCAGAATGGTCCGTTTGCTGCTCCAAAAAAATCTTAGGCATTCCATGAATTCCTTTTCTTAGTAATCTGCTACCAAAAGTCATTTTTTCCAGTCCACCTGCATTTTGAAATGCCCCATGATTATTACAATCGTCCCTTTCTCACAGATCTTTTCTATCTCCTGATTGGTTATTGGCCTCACATTCTGACTTCTGCTTTGAACATAACACCCATCAGGGTCTTTTTCCCTTTGCAGTTTCTCAACTCCAACCACACAGATTCTACACCTTCCAACCCTACATCACTTCTTGCTATTGATTTAATTTCATTTTTTACTATCAAAGCAACATTGATCCTCTGCCCATCTATCTGTCCTTTCAATGGAATGTGTATCCTTTGATATTTAGGTCACAGCCCTAATCTCCTTGCAGACAAGCACCGCTAATTTCAAAGTATGCCAAAAATTCACATCTTGTTTTATATACTGTGTGCATTTAAGTATAAAACCAGAAAATCATCTTAAGGGCCCATCTTGGGGGAAGAATTGGCTGCATTGTGTTAATGCTTCACCTTAGTGGAGGGGTTGGGTTAAGGAGCCATCAGCCATGATGATAGAAGGTAGCCTTTGTCCCACAGCAGCCACTCTTGTTAGGTATCTGGACTCTTGTATGCAGCAGAAACAGTGGAGTCCTCAAAGGCAACATCACAGCTGTCAGGGTGCTTGGTGCAGACTTCTAAGATGTGGTAGATGATAGCAGATGACTTACATTCTGCTGGAATGGAGCAATTTTCTATTGATAGACTCTACTGCGTTATGTCATTGTGCCCTGTGAGGTCTATCATGCTCAGCACCAGGGCATGTTGACTATGTTGTCAAAGCCTGATGCCTGGACTGCAGCACTTGCATCTTCACAGGGAAACAAAATGAAGCAGTTTGGTCTGGCATAAATTGTATTGTTAACAGTCTTAATATATTTGTGGGTTGAGGGATGTGAGATCCCACATAGGTCCCCAGAGGCTCCTTAGGAGAATGCAGTTACATTACAGTTCAATGCAGATGTCAACAGCACCGGGATAGGATAGCCACCCACCCTATCTATTCATAGCTTCCACTCCAGCACCTGACGTAGTTCTGTGACAATGTCCAGGATATTCTCAGCCTGTGCTGACACTGTGCCTTGTTCATCTGGAGGAAATGGCATTGAGGAGGATAGATTCTAAGCCTCTTGTATATCCTGCGCAAATTGAGTGGACTTTCAGCTGTGATATCTTCAGTTGGAGGCTGTTCAGCATCCTCTGGAGATTTCTGCTGGTCCTGGGTTGCTGCACATTGGTTCCTTCTTCATTGCTTTTGTTGCACCGTAGCCAAAATGACAATAAGCTCTATCGGGGTTGGATCCATCAGTCACACAATAAACCCATGTGGAGAACATAAGAAAAAGAAGAGTGCTTTGGAACATATGCAGTCAGCATTCGAATCACTGACAAATGACAGTTTAACATACTCCTCCATACAGTGGGACATGGACCAATCCAACAAGGAGGAATGTCTGTACGGAGTACTTTGAGTTTCATCCTTATTGTAAATGCAGCACCAGTCATGTCATAAATGGATAGCTGGAGACTGCAAGTACTGCATCAGTACTGAGACCTTGTGCTCCCATTCCCACATCATCAAAAAAAGGCATCATTGCATATAAGGTCATGTTGCAGAATACTTACAATTAAATGTGAGAGGGAATCTGTCCCATGCCCCAATTAGTCGATGAGATCTTACATTATCTTTGTGCTTTGTAGGTGGTGCTACTTTTCGGATCCTATGATTAATTCAGCTGCGGAAAAATGACTTGTCATTGCTGGTTGAAGACAATGACATGATTAAGATTACATCTGTACCTCAGCGAGGTGGACACTGCATGCATTTCACATTCATGATGCTATAATTACGGCACCAGTCTGCAACTGACCCCTTATGGGCCTCATGTTGCGACGAAGATAATAAAAAAGTAGACTCAGCCCACTCCCTCTGTGGTCACGGTCATTTTCCATTCACAGTTCACATTTAGGAGTTGATTGAATATGGAAGATCACACAAGTCTCGCTTCGTGCGGTGAGTCTCGATCTCAACCTGGTGATCAGTCCTCCCTCAGCAAACCTCAATGTCATACAGTCATAGTGCTGTACAGCCCAGAAACAAACCCTTCGGTCCAATTCATCTAGGCTGACCAGATATCCTAAAATAATCTGGTCCCATTTGTCAGCATTTGGCCCATATGCCTCTAAACCCTTCCTATTCATG